TCATAGAAAATGTTATTTTTTCATCTAATTTCTTACTTTACAGTGAAAAATACTTTTCAACTTTTGGTCATCTGACTATTTTTTTTTTTTTTTTCAAAAACGAGGAAAACATTTTATTTAGGAAGTGGTTATTTTTATTTTTCGGATAATTTACTCTCTATTTCTCTCTCTCTCATCTATCCACCAATAAAATATGAACAAGTGTAATATTTTTCAGGTTTAAAACTAAATCAATTAAACACATTTAATCAATAATTTTCATACAAATAAATTATGTACAATTAAATCGTATAATAATTAGACGAGACTTTTGATCCTATAATTTACTAGGCAATATTAGTATTGGATAACACTAGACACTAGTGATCAATTCTATTTTGACGAGAGCTGATCAAATTATGTACCAATGGAAATTTTACGCATTTGATCATATAATTTGATGTGGAGTGATAGAATCGAACTAGACTATAATTAGCAATTATGATTCAAATAGATCGAGTTTTTTTAATAATTAAGCAAAAAATCGTGTGAAGTTTACATTTTTGTGTAAATGTTTCGAGTTTAAAGGGGGGTGAAATATTGATAATGATTGGACATGTGGGTCAATTTTATTTGACGAGAGCCTGATCAAATTATCTACTAATCGAAATTTTACACATTTGATTATACAATTAGATGTGTCTGATTCAATTCGATTGAGTTCTTTTATACTTTGGCAAAAAATTCATAAAATGTACATTATTTTGTAAATATTTTGGCGTTTAAAGGGACAAAAATATGAAATATCCAACCCTAGCTTTTATTAAAATAGGTTTCTAGAACAAGGGAGCACGTATTTCGTACTAGTACCACTCTAGAGAGAGAGGGTATTTAAGGGGCTTTTCATAGAAATTGAAGAGGCAGATGCAAGGTTGTGATGGAGACAAAAAAATTGGTTGAATAATTGGATGATATTAAAGTTCACAATGTGACTTTGTTTTATCGTATATAGGATTGAATCGACCGTAATTTATTATGTTGTTTAGAACAGTGCAAAATTCGCTACTTTAAATTTATTTATTTCGACATTAACACGATGGTTCCAGAAAATAATGTCATTTGCACGTAGGAATAAACCAACGGCTCTTCATTTGAAGATTTTTTAGGAAAACCATAAAGTTAGTTTTTAATTTAAAAAAAAAAAAAAAATTGTGTGGGGAAATTCGACACGTGCACCCAAAAAGGGTTACAAATTGAAAAATCCTGCCAAGAAAATGAAAAATGTTGTTCTGGAAATCGGACCCAACAGTATTCTTCGCTTTTAGAACTTCCAACCCTTCACATTTTCATAAAATTCAACTCTTTCATAATATTCTGAGTTTCCCTTTCTCGACATTTGAGCCCTCATCAACATCCAAAAAGAAGAAAAAATAGTAGAAATCACTTCTATAATTTATAGCACAGTGAAAGAAAGTGGCATAAAAAGAAAGCTCCAAATTTCACTCTCAAAAGTTTCTTGCACATTCTTGCAATTTAAAAATGACAACACTCGTAGGGGTGTCTAAAAGTTCCGAACCGAACCCAAACCGAACGGTTCTTCATAAATTAAATATCTGAACAGATATCTGAATCGAGAACCGATGAGTTTGGATCGGATCTCGATTCTAGACCAAAAATCGAAGAATCGAATAAAACTTGAAACTAAATAATTTTTTTTATTTTTTAGATTGAATTAATTAAATTATTTTATTTTTTTCTAAACAAAT